AACTGGCCTACCAGACAAGTGAGTAGCTTGCTTTGTAGTTGATGGAAATGATGTATAGAATGCATTCAGAATATCAAGAAGAATGATGTCAGGAATGAATAGGCAAATCATCTGGTAGAATGGGAAAAAGGGCAGCAGCATCTGTTACTCACAAGCTTTAACCAAGGCAGTAGTGAGAAGCTAGCTAAGTCTTTTGTCAATGCAAACCATTCAGTAGGACTAAGTAGGCTTTTTATGAATCCCCATTCTTCATACTATCAGCTGGGTCAAAGCTCTGCCCATCTGACTGGAATACCAACATCACCTAACCTGTATCATCCTGATTACAGGCTCACAGAAAAATGGCAACTATGTCCATTTAACTCACTCACTATGGTATTGTTGGACAGAAGTGCATTTAAATGCTTTTGATGGTGATGATTATAGAGCAAAATGAAATATAAATGGCTGCTGGCAAGTTTCATTGTAACAACTTTTATAACCCCATTATTAAGGAGATGAATATCTTCATATTCCTAAACAAGAGGTAATCACATGTCTAAAGCTCTTTGCCCCTCACTTATTTTGTTAAAATGCTATTCTCATTTATTTTCCATCTTTCCCTCTTGGTGTGCATTAGTTACTATGGAAACATCAGGATATCAGAGTTTGAGTATCTCAACATCCCCAAGATCTATTAGAGTATAAAAGCAATTTCTATCATTGTATTGGGGGAGGGAGTCATTGCTGTTACAAATGAATGCAGGACAAAAAAAATCCTGTTACCAGACAACCAGAGGCTTTATTCAGACAACACCAGATAATGGCTAGGGCTCATCTTACCTGTCTACACTGTGTACCAAGACCCAAGTAGGGACTGGAGAGATGACTCAACCATTAAGCATACTTGCTGCTCTTGCAGAAGACCCACGTTGAGTTCCCAGCATCCAGAGGATCCAAAGCCCTCTTCTTGTCTCTATGAGCACCTGCAGATGATGCATATACAAGCAGGCACACATACATATGAATTAATAAAAATAATTTTTAAAGATTTCCCCACTACAGTTATGAATGATGTTTTCCCCAAAATAACATCTATTTATAACAACATCAGCCTTGACTCTTTTGACTCAGAACTTAAGAACAGTTTTAAAAATTAGTTGCCAGCTGTGGTCATGCACACCTTTATCCTAACACTCAGAAGGCAGAGACAGGGAGATCTCTGTGCCCTTAAGGTCAATCTGACCTACATAATGAATTCCAGGACAGCCAGGACTATATAATGAGATATTGTTTCAAAAAATTAGTGAGGAATTGAGCTAGGCGGTGGTGGCACACATGTCTTTAATTCCAGCACTTGGGAGGCAGAGCCAGGCAGATCTCTGTGAGTTTGAGGCCAGCCTGGTCTACAGAGTGAGTTTCAGGACAGCCAGAGCTACACAGAGAAACCCTGTCTCAAAAAACCAAAACCAAAACAAACAAACAAAAATTAGTGAAGAGTAACTGGATCACACTATGGAATTAATTATACATAGATTATGAAACAATTAACTTTATTATGAAAAACAAAACACACACATAACACATACATCAAATATAAAGTCCATATCCCAACCACTAGATTTACAGTTCGGTAGGTAAATAGCTAGACAGATTGAGTAAACGGTTCTTTCTGCATTTCCTCTTACTAGAATATGTGAGAATCCCAGAAAAGGTCTATCTTTTACATGATTTCTTCACTCTTTAACAGATGCTCAAATATATATTTTGCCCTCAGACCTCTGTCCATTTGCATGTACTATACATCTCTGCCACAATGTCTCACACATTCTTAAAATTGAACCCCTCCATCTGTATTAAAAAAAAAGGCTTTTCAAGGTACCCTAGAAATTATATATGTGTGTATACATATATAACATTGTAGGCAATTGACTCATACAATTATGGACTCTGATAAGTCCCATTACACAGCATCTGCAAACTGGGAACCCAAGAGATCCAATGTACAGTTCCAGTCCAACTTCCAGGTCTGGGAACCAGGAGAACCAATGGTATAAATTCCATTCTGGGGGCTAGAGAGATGGCTCGGTGGTTAGGAGCACTTGTCACTCTTCCAGAGAACCCCGGTTTGATTCCCAGCACCCATATGGTGTCTTATAACCATCTGTGATTCCAGTTTCAGGGGATCCAACCCCCTCTTCTAGCCCCCAAAGGCACCAGGCATACACGTGCTACACAAATATACATGCAGGTTAAATGCCCATCCACATAAGACAAAAATGAATAAATACAAGAAAAATTTAATCCTATTCCAAGTGCAGTAGACCAGTGTCACAGCTTGAGAACAAACAGGAAAGTGAATTCTCCTTTCCTCCAACTTTTGTTCTCTTAGACCTCTAACAGACTGGAAGGGCTTACCCTCACTGAGAATGGCAACTTGCTTCACTCGGTCCATTTTATTCTAATTAACTTCAAATATTCATTCCATCCAAAACATTCTCACAGTCACACCCAGAATAATATTTAGCCAAAAGCCTGAGCACTTCGAGTTCCAATCAAGTTGACATGTATAGTGACCACCTTATCATCTTCCCTACTGGCCTTGCTACTACTCGACAGTCTTTCCTCCGGTGCAATCCTGTAGCAACTTAACCACTCAATCTAAAAACCTCCATATTCACAATATTAAATCAGTAACTATGCTATGCAAAACTTACCTCTGAACAAATTCTTCAGCTGTGTTTTAGTTGGGGTTTCTATTGCTGTGAAAAGAAAAATGCCGTGACCAAAAAGCAAGTTGGGGAGGAAAGGGTTTATTCGGCTTACACTTCCATGTTGACATTCATCACTGAAGGAAGTCAGGACAGGAACTCAAATAGGTCAGGATCCTTAACCTTTAATTGTTACAGCTTGCTGAATCAAAGTAGCTGAATCTGAAACAAGTTCAGTATCTTGTCTTTCAAGAATGAATGTATCTTTATGGGCTCGATAAAAAGGAAAGGCAACATTTGTCCTCATCTGAACCCTGCAGATACTTTTTTCACACAAGAAATTTCAAATTCCAACAAGAGACTCATTACCCTGAATAATAATATTGATAGAGAAGTAAGTTTACATGGACCTCACCTTGTAATAGAAGTCCAGTGCAACACCATTGATCATATTCTGTACATGGCCATAGATAGCCAGTTCCTTTCTCTTTCCCTATCATTTGTCAACCCAGAGCCTCTTCCTTCTCTTCAATGAGACTGAGCTCTATATTGCTCAAGATCCTCCGAAGGCTTCCGCTAAGGCCGTTCACTGTAACTTCAGAGAGGTGGCAACAGTTTCTGGAATATCCATGGTGTGATTGCTGAGAAGGGTTTCCATTCTCTCTGTAGATATGGCAGAAAAAAACCACACTAATCATTTATGAGCATAAATCAATTTTTTTCTGGCAAAGGTAGACTTATTTCCGATCAACCATCCCATAGAAAATGAATATAGAAGCTGAATGATTAGGCGTGGTGGGGCTCACCTGCAATCTCAGAACCCAGGCAATTGAAGTAGAGAATCTGGAACACATGGTAAGACCTTGTCTCAAGAAAAAAATGCTGGAAAGCACATATTTTTTTTTTATTTGATCACACTGGAGGGCCTCCAAGATAGCGAGGAATTGACAAGCTGAAATTCTGGACAGGAGGGAAATGTAGAGCAAGAAATAGCTGAGCCAGATAGAGATCTGGTTACATCTTTGCTTCTAAGCAATTTGTCAGTTTGAAATCTGTGGATGAAATGTTAAAAGCCTGTGAAGAGATGGTGAAAAAATAACAGTGTCAGAGACTCTCAGAGATGTGGATAGAGTTAAAGACTCATGAAGGAAGAGTAATCGTAGTAAATACCACAAGAATCTCAGCCTATCCACTCCCAACCATTAGAATCTTATCATTGGGATAAGAGTGAATGGGAACTAGAACAGTCTTATAAAAACTAAAGGCCAGTCTCAATCTCCAATCAGATTAAGACAGTCATTTACCCTTGCCAAAGGAAGAAAAAATAAATACCATCTAGAAGAAAAGAGTATCAACTCGCAGCTCTTCTACATTTTATATTGTGTTCTACACTTAATTACTAATAATGGCCCATACAAAAAAAACAACCACTAGCCAAAATCAAGAGAAAATGGGCAATAAGCACAGACTTAAAGAAGATGCAGACATTAAAATTCTCAATCATAGATTTTAAATAATCATAAAGAACATATTCATGACAGAAGGGATAATTTCAGCAGTGTGTGACTGGTTACATACTGTATTAGTTCCTTTCCTATTGCTGTGGTAAAACACCATGACCAAGGCAATTTATAGAAGAAAACGTTTGTTTGGGCTGCCGTTCAGAGTCTGTCATGGTAAGGAATCCTGGAAACAAGCAGCAGCTATGGTGCCTGGAGCAGAAGCTGCGGGCTCACATCTTGAATGGCAAGTATAAAGTGAGGAGGCAGAGAGAGCGCTTGTGCACTAGGAATGGCATGAAGCTTTAAAACCTCAAAGCCCACCCTCAGTGACACACTTCCTCCAGCAAGGCCACACCTCCCCAAACAGTGCCATCAACTGGGGACCAAGTGTTCAAATGCATAAGCCTTTGGGGGAACATTCTCATCCAAAACATTATACTTTGCACAAGTATTATATCAAGGAACCGGGTTTCTTACTGGTAATCCATTGAGAAGGTCTAAGAGTAGCAACATACTAATAGCAATGACAATACTTGGCCCTAAATCAACATTCTCCACCCAAAGGAACCAAGAATCTTTGCTGAAAACACTAATTCCAACGTGTTTAGACACCAAATAAAATGGGATTGCAACTTCTTTTTGTCCCTAAAAATAAAGAATTGTTCCAAGAGTTATGGGAACATGTTAAAAAGACACAGGAGCCAACTTAAAAGGGTTCCCTCTAGTAAATTTGAACATCACAAAAACAGACTGAAAAAATATTAAAGTAGAAAGCCATGAGTCCACGTTGACATGAATGAATGATGAGACACTTAAATTGCAGGGGAGATACCATGGTTATGAAGGTGATTTTCTTGGGATGAAGCTCATCTGTTGCACTCTGGGTGTTCTGTCCCCTGCGATTTCCTCAAATGTGGAAACCTTGACTACATAATTTGTGGTAATGGGGAAATATGCTCATACTCTCCCTCAAAATAAAAACAGAAGTTTTGTGAGTATATGCTTGAGTGTGTGTGTGTGTGTGTGTGTGTGTGTGTGTGTGTGTGATGTCACTCATTAGCTGTAGAAAGAGATGATTGATAGACAAACATAGAGTCAAAGTTTTTTTCTCCCAGATACTTAAAGTTAACAAAGACAAGAAAATAACTTTACAGTAGAGAAAATCCAGAAAATGTCACCTTAACCAAATGAACAAAGAGAAAATCACCAATAATAAAACACAGTGGGCTGAAGAGATGACTCAGTGGTTAAGAGCACTTGTTTTTCTTGCAAAGGACCTGAGTTCAGTTCCAATCACTACATCAGGTGGTTCACAATGACCTGACTCCAGCTCCAGGGGATCTAACAACTCTGGCCTCCAAGGGTTTTATCCCAACACAAACACACACAACTATACATAATTTAAAAAATAATAAAAAAATAAATCTTAAAAAATAAAACAGTGAAATAACATGGCCCCTGATAAGATGCCATGAAAAAAGAAAGCATTATTTCTTTGGTGTTAATGCCCAAATTTCATTGCTAGAATATAATCATGAGGAAATGTCAGAAAGACCCAAGTTATGGGGCATTTCACAAAATGACTAGACTATTATCTTCAAGTATTGAAAATTGAAGGACACTGAGTAGACATTAAAACAAAATGCAGCACTTGCTTCTGAATTGGATTATCTGGTTTAAGGACACTACTGAAAAACTGGCAAAACTTGCGTAGGATGGTAGCGATAGCAATGTTATACTCTAATGCTGATGGTTATAATATTAGAGCTTTATAACAAAGCATTCTTATATTTTAGAAAATGCACATAGAAATGTCTAGAAATAAGAGGGTATGAGATGGGCAGTGTTCTTTGTATTGTGCTTAAAACTCTTCTGTAGGTTTGAAACTGTTTTGAGGCTTATTAAAATGTCATGTAGAGCAGGCAAGATGGCTCAGAGGGTAAAGGCATTTGTTTTTAAGCCTTAAATCCTCAGTTTGATCTCTGGGACCCACACAGCAGAAGGTGAGAACCAATTCCCACAAGCTGTCCTTTGTTCTTCACAAAGGCACCATGGAGCATGCACACAAAAACACACACAAGCTAAATAAAAATAAATGTAAAAAAATAAAATGTCTTGTGGAGTATTTTAAATGATGGATTAAAATTTATGACATCAAAATATATTCCTATCAGAACTTGCCACTAAAATAATTTGTGTAATTACAGTTGTAGCTAAGGAGTCACACTTCTTTGGCACACCTGTGACCCTGGGTGCAAATTCCAATACCACAAAAATAAATAAATAAATAAATAAATAAACAAATAAATAAATATATAATCAACAGAATAGACTGAATATTCAAAAGAAGATAAGAAGTAAGACTATGGGGAGAAACAAAGAACAGTCAAATAGAAAACACAAAATAAGATGATAGACTTATAATTGATATAACTATATCAATACTTATATTAACTATTGCCGGGTGGTGGTGGCGCACGCCTTTAATCCCAGCACTCGGGAGGCAGAGCCAGGCGGATCTCTGTGAGTTCGAGGCCAGCCTGGGCTACCAAGTGAGTTCCAGGAAAGGCGCAAAGCTACACAGAGAAACCCTGTCTCGAAAAACCAAAAAAAAAAAATACTTATATTAACTATAAATAACCAATTAAACTGCGGAGACTGTTGGAATATTTTATTTTAGAGAGAGGGTTTTATTATGTAGTCCAGGCTGGTCTGGAACTTGCAATGTAGACCAGGCTAGCCTCAAACTCACAGAGATCCACATAGCTCTAAACCCTGACTGTTGAGATTAAAGGCGTGCACCACCACACCTGGCCCAGACTATATTTTAACAGGAGTATTAGCTACTTTCCTATTGCTGTGATAAACCATTGTGGTTAACTTACAGAAGGAAGAGAGTTTATTTGGGCTTATGGGAACAGAGAGATAAGCGTCCATTGTGGCTGGGAGGCAGCAGGCATAGCAGCTGGAACAGCAAGCTGAGAACTGACATCTTGAACCATAAGCAGGAAGCAGAGAGAGTGCACTAGGGATAGCAAGAGGCTTTGAAACCTCAAAGCCTGCCCCAGTGACACATCTCCACCAACAAGGCCACATCTCCTAATCCTACCCTAATAGTGCCACCAACTGAGGACCAAGTATTTAAACATATAAGCCTATAGGGGTTATTCTCTTTCAAGCCATCACAAATTCAATGATTGATGACTTCCTTAGTATGCATGAAGTTATGAGTTTGATATCCAACAGAATAAAAAATACACCCTTTAAATATATAAACATATACATTGAAAATAAAACTTAAAAATTTATGCAGTGTAAGCAACAAATTCATCAAAGGCAGTGGCTGCATTAATATAAGGCATAGGCACAATGCACTTCAACACAAGAGTATAATCAGAGATCAGGGACAAGAACCATTTCTTATTGTTTCTACCTAGACTCAAGATGCAGTTTTGTGTATGCATATATGCTGGTGATTCATGAATTTTTCTGTGTTAAAAATGGAACTGTTTTGTGGAACTGTTTATGTAAAAATGGAATTACACATGGGGAAAAAAAAGAAACCCTGTCATAAAAAACAAACAAAAAACCATGAAATCCAAAAAAGAAGAAGGAGGAGGAGGAGGAGGAGAAGGAGAAGAAGAAGAACCATTTCATGACAAATAGTCAACTCATTAGGCTACAGAAGTGGCTCAGTTGGTGCCTTAGGATTAATATTGCTGTGATGAAACATCATGGCCAAAAAGCAAGTTAAGGAGGAAAGGGTTTACTTGGCTTATACTTCCAAATCACTGTCCATCACTGAAGGAAATCAGGACAGGAACTCAAACAGGGCAGGAACCTGGATGCAGGAGCTGATACAGAAGCTATGGAGGGGTGCTGCTTAATGGCTTGCTAATTATGGCTTGCTCAGCCTGCTTTTTTTTTTTTTTTGGTCCTTTTTACTTTTATTCATTTATTTTATTATATTTTGGGGTTTTTTTTTTTTTTGAGACAGGGTTTCTCTGTATAGCTTTGCGCCTTTCCTGGAACTCACTCTGTAGCCCAGGCTGGCCTGGAACTCACAGAGATCCACCTGGCTCTGCCTCCGAGTGCTGTGATTAAAGGCGTGTGCCACCACCGCCCAGCTGGGAGGAGGTCTTAAATACAGGCTTACAGCACAATGGGAGAACCCCGGAGGGCAGAAGTTTGCTATGGATGTTTTGCAATCTTGCATCTGAGCTGTTAACACCCATTATATAGGATACACAGACAAGGAACTTCCCTTAAGCATTCAGGAGGGTGGAACCTGGGAGGGAATTAGCATAGGGAGGATATCAAGGTCATGGTCAGCAAGCAAGGCAGCAGTTACCCAAAATGGGGGCCAGGGCCCTACAGGTCCCCCTTTTACTAATCAGCCTACTTTCTTATAGAACCCAGGACCACTAGCCCAGGGATGGTACCACCCACCATGGGCTTGGCCCTCCCCCATCAATCACTAATTAAGAAAATGCTCTACAGTCAGATGTTATGGAGGCATTTTCTCAATTAAAGTTCCCTCCTTTCAGATAACTCTAGTTTGTATGTCAAGTTGACATAAGACTAGCCAGCACAGTTAGCTAAGTGTCTACCACACAAGCATGAGGATATGAGTTCGGACCCCTGAGAGGACCAAAGAGATGCCATAACAGGCTGCTCAGTCTTCTCTCAGTTATCAGGCCTCAATTTCAGTTTCCTGAGACTAGACAGACAGTTTCTGAGGAAAAGCCACAAACAAAGGGCAATTCATCACTGGTGCCTCTGACAACAGAGACAAGGGAAGATAGGACACACCAACCCTGGGCCACTGAACCAGCCCCCACAGTCAGTACATGTTAGGCAAGCCAGCCTTCACAGCAGTACAAGGACAAAGCCAGGGACTTGTCCAGCCTGCCCCCAAATGGAAAACTGTAGCCTGACCAGCCTCTAACTATCCCTGGACAATTAGAACATACTGATATTATTGCCATTTGCTTAAGACAATCATATTTAAAATTACTTAACTGCCTTAGGACCTCCTCTTGGCTATGCTTAAAAGGATCTTTTTTACATCTCTCTCAGGGTCTTTGCCATCTTGCCTTTGTGTGGGATGGCATGCCCCAGCATGCTGGAATAATAAACACTCTTGCTGATTGTATATGTGGGTGGTGGTCTTTTGTGTGACTTCTCCAGGACCCTAACAACCCCCAGCACTCATGTAAAGTCAGGTACAGTGGTGTACTCCTGTAACTCCAATTAGCCAGTGAACCTAGCTAATTCAGGGAGCTCTGGGTTCATTGAGAGAGCCTGTCTCAAAAAAAAAGGAGGTTGACACATAGGCAAGATGTTCCCACTTAAATTGTGGCATGATTTTTATGAGGATAATCAATGACTCTCTGGTTAGATTTGAGACCAGCTCCATGGGAAAGAATTTATGCCTGGTATAGTAAACCTGGCCAAAAAAAAAAAACCCTCTATTTAGGGAGATGGGGAGGTCCTAGTGTGGAATCAACTACTACTATTTTGCTAAATGGATATGTTGTGCCTTTCAAATTGCTTTCAAAATATTTGGGTTTATGTCCATAGAATGATGCTACTCTTAGCACTGGTCAGAAAAACTTGGTTTTGCAGTGGATGGCACTTACTGTAAAGATTCATAACTGGTCCAGGTTCTGGGGAATAACTGACCAGTGAGTGCTAAAAAAAGGGTAGAAACATTACTGACTCAAAATATTAAGCAAAATCTCTGATCAATAAATTGACTGACCTCAAAGCTTGACAACTCAGGAGCAAGTCTGTTGTGTGACATTATTCCTGATGTGAACAAATATTTATTCTCCCCAGATAGGGAGCCTACAATGTACCAAAGTACAGACACCACCAAAGTTCAACTTGGTGAATCAATGAGTCTTCCTGGGGTTGCTTACAGGAACATGGGTGAGCGGTTACTTACAGGAGCAGAAATGACACAAAG